CGCTGCGGTCCCCGGTGGCGCCCCGGCTTGTGCAGCAAGCCCACAGGAGCAACGCGACAATATGTTCGACCGCAAGAGGCGGTACGACTCCCAGCAAGGGCGCCGCGAGCAGCAGCACAACGACGACGACAAGCAGCAACATCAGCAGCAACACCACCACCACCACGACAACCATCACCAGCGGCAGCGTCGCCACCGCGACCAGTTGCAGCGGCACCACCACGACGACCAGCAGCAGCAGCAGCACCACCACCACCACCACCACCACCGCCACCACGACCAGCAGCAGCAGCAGCAGCAGCAGCAGCAGCAGCAGCAGCAGCAGGGCAACCACCACAACGACCAGCACCACAGCGACCAACACCAACGACCAGCAACACAGCATGCACCAAACGACCAGCGCCACAGCACGCAGCCATCGACCAGCACCACAGTGACGACCAGCACCACCACAGCACCACAGCACGCAGCCAACGACTGCGGATGGCAGCTCCCTGGCGGCAGCAGCAGCAAAAGCAGCAGCAAAAGCAGCAGCAGTGACAGCCAGCAGGGCCCTCCGCCGCCCCAGACGGCCATTCCAGCCGTCTGGCCGCCAGCCCTCCAGCCCCTTCCGAGGGGGGGGGCTGGCGTCAGCTGCAGCCCGTGCCCCCCAGGGGAAGAGCCCCATTCCCACGGTAGGACTCCCCTGGGGCCAGTTCCCCATCGGGGTTCGCGCGGCTCCGCTGCGGTCCCCGGTGGCGCCCCGGCTTGTGCAGCGAGCCCACAGGAGCAACGCGACAACATGCTCGACCACAAAAGGCGGCACGACTCCCAACAGCGGCGCCGCGAGCAGCAGCACAACGACGACGACAAGCAGCAACATCAGCAGCAACACCACCACCACGACAACCATCACCAGCGGCAGCGTCGCCACTGCGACCAGCTGCAGCGGCACCACCACGACGACCAGCAGCAGCAGCAGCAGCAGCAGCAGCAGCCGCAGCAGCAGCAGCAGCAGCAGCAGCAGCAACACCACCACCACCACCGCTACCACGACCAGCAGCAGCAGCAGCAGCAGCAGCAGCAGCAGCAGCAACAGCAGCAGCAGCAGCAGCAGCAGCAGCAGCAGCAGCAGGGCAACCACCACAACGACACCCTGCGACACCGACCAGCAGAAACACCAACGCCACCGCAAACACAGCGACCAGCAGCAGCACCGCGACAGCGACCGACAGCGCCGCCACCAGCACCAGCGCCAGCACAAGCACCGCCACCACCACGACAGGAGCAGTGCGCACTGGCGAGGAGTCCGCGGGAGGCGCTCTACGGCTACCGCGGACAACGGGTCGGCGAAGCCAGCCACCCAGGCCCCCCGGGCCAGCCGACGAGCCGCCGGGCACGCCGGAACGCAGATCGGGAGAGTCTGCCCCGGTACCAGCGCTCGCGGAGACGCCGCCGCACATGCTGTCGGCGCCGGAAGGGTTTGCCACGCCAGACTCGCGAGCGGGCGCGCGGTCGGCCTCACCACCGCCACCACCACCGCAGCTGAACCACTTCGCCAGCATTTTCGGCGCCTGGCCGGCAGCGCCCCCTGAACCAGAGGGAAGGCGGCGGGACTTCTCGGGCCTCTCCCTGCCGCCAGCTGGGCGCGAGGCGGCCGAGGAGCAGCGACAGCCACCGCAGCAACAGCAGGGGCCAGACCGGCCAGACAGGGAGGAATGCGCCATCTGCCAGACGCCGCTCGAAGGGGGCACCGTGACGTGGCCAGCTTGCGGCCATGTCCCCCACCGCTTCCACGCAGCGTGCGCAGCGAGGCATCGGCCGACACGGGCGGGCCTGGCCCAATTGTACCACACAGGTGACGCATCCCGTGCCGAAAGGTCGCCATGCCCCCTTTGCAACAGCCCGTGGGGGGGCTCGCCGGGTGGCGTGGCGGCGCTTGCGGGCTTCGTGGGATCCCTGAACGCTTCTGGAGACTACCCCACCCGAGGGTGCAGGTGCTCACGCTGCCGAGCCGCGGCCGGCCCGCCAAGTGAGGAGGAGGAGGCGGGCCCTTACGCAGGAGGACCCCTTGAGCAGCCAGGAGGGCCCGCGCCGCACGCCATCGCAGTCTGCCCGCGACATTTCCAACCCCTGCGGTGGCGGCACTCTCGCGGGCCCAGCGGGCTGGCGGGCAGCTGGGAATGCCGCGCCTGCGACGTGGCCTCCCTGGGTAGCGACGTCTCGCCGCCGCAGGGCGCGAGACCGCCGCGCTGCCCCTGCGGACGGCCAGGGCCAATCGAGTGGGTCGCCAGGGCCGCCAGGGCCACAGGAGGGTCGCGGAGATGGCACGGGGCCTGGCTCTGCGAGGGCTGCGCCGCCACGCCGCTTCAGGAGCCAGTGGTCGCCGCCCGCGACAACAGCAGACGCAGGAGACCCTCGACTGGCGCGCCCCGAACAGGCGCCCACCGCCGCAGAGCAACGGCAGCCTGGCCGCTTCGCCGGATGGCCTCCCCTGGCGGGCCCACTACGAGAACGAACCAACTCACGCGTGCACGCGCCCTTGCTATTAGCAGCGGCGGGGCTGCTTGACCAGCAGGAGGCGGCGGGATGGAGCACGCACCCGCTCACGCACGACTGGTGGCAGCCGACAGTGGAGGCCTTGCAGCAAGCGGACCCCGTGCCAGCCGAGACCTTCGCCCAAGGGCTGGAGTTCGCAGGGGCCAGCCCAGGGACGATATATGCCGCGATCGCCGCTGGGGGCGGAGCACGCCCTGGACACGTGCACCTGCCGCCTGTGGCCAGAGCGCTGGCGGACAGCGCTGGCTACATCGACGACCTCGCCCAGGACCTCTTGCTCGAGCTCTTCGGTGGGGTCGTGCTGGCGCGGGGGGTCGACCGGCGCGCAGACGAGCTCCGCGACCCGGCCAGGTGGGCCGCAGCCGCGCCGCGCCCGCCGAGGCCGCCACCAGCGGCGCCAGCAGGACCTCAGCCCAGCGACGACGCCAGCGGAGGGGGCCCAGGAGGCAGAGGCCGAGGAGGCAGAGGAGGAAGAGGCGCCAGAGGAAGCAGAGGGCGAGGCGCTAGAGGGGGCCGAAGAGGAAGAGGCACCAGAGGAGGGGGAGGAGGGGGAGGAGGCAGCCCGAGCAGCAGCACCGCCAGCGAGAGCGAGGAGGACACTGAGGACAGCGCCTCCAGCAACTCTGGCCCCGCGCTGCCCGCGCCGCTGGCCCAGCCCCGCCGCGACGGGGACGCGGGACGAGCTGCTCCTCCCCGGGCGCCCCTGGGGCGCCGCCCCGCCCACGCCCGCGCTCGCTTGACGGCGGCAGAGAGGGAGGCGCTGGACGCGACAGACGCAGCATCTGTGCTCCGGGCCCGCGTGCCAACCCTCCAACGGGCGCCAGCGTTCGCGCGGGGGCCGTTCCGCAACGCCTTGCGCAAAGCTTTGGAGCTGATCCGAGAGGGCGAAGCAGACGAGACAGGAGCAGCGAGAGGGTGGAAGCTGTTCCTCCTGCTCCCACGACTGCTCTTGTGGAGAGAGGCGGGGCAGCAAAGGATCCCCAAGGAGCAACTCCTGGAGAGGTTCACCCGCTTCGAGGCTGGAGACTGGGCGCAGCTTCTGACAGAAGCACAGCCGGGCCCGCCGCGCAGGCCGCCCGAGCGAGACGCGAACGGGCAGAGCAGGGCGCCCGAGGCACGACGGGGCCGGGCGCCAGACGAAAACGAGAAGCTCCGCAGCCGCTGCGAGAGGGCCACCGAGCTGATCCGCCTCGGCGAGGACTCGGCGGCGCGGCGAGCGCTGACAGCGAGCGCGGTGGCACCAGGCACACAGGCCACTCTGGACGAACTCCGGGACCCGGCACGCCGCCTGCAGCAGCCGAGAGAGCAGTTTTTTTTTTTTTTTTTTTTTTTTTTTTTTTTTTTTTTTTTTTTTTTTTTTTTTTTTTTCCTCCCCCTTCCTTACCCCAAGGCTGCCGCGTCCCCTTGCGGCCAGTGCGGACCCCCCGCGCGCCCACGGTGAGTGTGGGGCGGGGGCGCGCCCCGAAGGAGCGGGTGGTTTTCGGCCGAAGCCAGGGCAACCCCGAACCTCCCGCCAGCTAGCCGCCCCGCCGGGGGCCTCCCACTCAGCTGCCCCAAGCCCCTCGGCGCCCCAGGAGCGCCCGGGGCGCCCTCGGCCAGCCGCCGCCAGCCGCCGCCGCCAGCCGGCGCCTTGTGCCGCGGCGCCCGGCCCGTCGCCGCCAGACGCCGGCCGGCCGCTCGGCGCAGCGCCGCGCCGCCGGGCTGCCGCCGCGGCCGGTGCCGCGCCGCGCCCGGGGCGGCGCGGGCGGCGCAGCTGTCGGCGCTCCCGCGCGGCCGCGCCGCCGCGGGCCGCTGCGCTTCGCCGCGGCGCCTGGCCCGTCGCCGCCTGCCGCCGGTCGGCCGCTAGCTGCCGCGCCTCGCCGTCGGGCCTGCCGCCGCTGGCCGCCGCGCCCCCCCGGACGCCGCAGGTTTCCGCTGGCAGAGGGTATTGAATAATTGTGGTCTTTGTTGTCATTTTTTCCTGTTTTGTTTGCTGTGTTTTAGGAGGGCTGAATCCTCCCCCCTCTGCCCGTGCGCGAACCTGCGGCGGCGCTGCGCCTCGCGGCGGTGCGTTCGCCCTCCGCGCCGCCGCGCTGCCTCGGGCCAGCGCCAGCGTCTCCTCCGCCGCCTCCGCCGCCGCCGCCGCCGCCTCCTCCTCCTCTGTGCTGGTGGCTGCTGTCGGGGTGCTGCTAGTCGCCGTGCTGCCCCTGGTCCTGGTGGTGCTGGTCGCCGTGGTGGTGCTGGTCGTAATGGTGCTGGTCGCCGTGGTGGTGTTGGTCGCCGTAGTGGTGCTGGTCGTGGTGGTCCTCCTGGTCGCGGTGGTGCTGGTCGTGGTGGTGCTGGTCGCAGTGGTGGTGCTGGTCGCCGTGGTGGTGCTGGTCGCCGTGGTAGTGCTGGTCGTGGTGGTCCTCCTGGTCGTGGTGGTGCTGGTCGCCGTGGTGGTGCGGGTCGTAGTGGTGCTGGTCGCCGTAGTGGTGCTGGTCGCCGTGTTGGTGCTGGTCGTGGTGGTCCTCCTGGTCGTGGTGGTGCTGGTCGTAGTGGTGCTGGTCGTGGTGGTGCTGGTCGCCGTGGTGGTGCTGGTCGTAGTGGTGCTGGTCGCCGTGGTGATGCTGGTTGCCGTGGTGGTGCTGGTCGTGGTGGTCCTCCAGGTCGTGGGGCTGGTCGTGGTGGTGCTGGTCGCTGTGGTGGTGCTGATCGCCGTGGTGGTGCTGGCCGTGGGCGTGGTGGTGCTGGTCGTGGTGGTAGTGGTAGTGGTCCTCTGGCCGTGGTCGTGCTGGTCGTGGAGGTGGTGGTGCTGGTCGTGCTGGCCGTGGTCGTGCTGGCCTTGGTCGTAGGTTGGTGCCTGGTCGTGGTGGTCGTGGTGGTCCTCTAGGCCGTGTCGCGCTGGTCGTGTTGGTGGTCGCGTGGTGGTGCTGGTCGTGGTGCTGGTCGTGGTGGTTCTCCTGGTCGTGGTGATGCTGGTGGTGGTGCTGGTCGCTGTGGTGGTGCGTAGTCGTTGTGCTGGTCGCCGTGGTGGTGCTGGTCATGGTGGTGCTGGACGCCGAGGTAGCCCTCCTGGTCGTGGTGGTGCTGGTCGCAGTGGTGCTGGTCGCCGTGGTGATGCTGGTCGCCGTGGTGGTGCTGGTCGCCGTGGTGGTCCTCCTGGTCGTGGTGGTGCTGGTCGTAGTGGTGCTGGTCGCCGTGGTGGTGGCGGTCGCCGTGGTGGTGCTGGCCGTGGGCGTGGTGGTGCTGGTCGTGGTGGTGGTGGTCATAGTGGTCCTCTGGCCGTGGTCGTGCTGGTCGTGGTGGTGGTGGTGCTGGTCGTGCTGGCCGTGGTCGTGGTGGTCGTGGTCGCCGTGGTGCTGGTCGTTGTGGTGGTCGTAGTGCTCCTCCTGGCCGTGGTCGCGCTTGTCGTGGTGCTGGTCGCCGTGGTGGTGCTGGTCGTGGTGGTCCTCCTGGTCGTGGTGGTGCTGCTCGTGGTGGTGCTGGTCGCCGTGGTGGTGCGTAGTCGCGGTGCTGGTCGTGAAGGTGGTGCTGGTCGCCGTGGTGGTGCTGGTCGCCGTGGTGGTGCTGGTCGTGGTAGTCCTCCTGGTCGTGGTGGTGCTGGCCGTGGTGGTGCTGGTCGCTGTGGTGGTGCCGGTCGCCGTGGTGGTGCTGGTCGTGGTGGTGCTGGGAGCCGTGGTGGTGCTGGTCGCCGCGGTGGCGCTGGTCGCCGTGGTGGTCCTCCTGGTCGCGGTGGTGCCGGTCGAGGTGGTGCTGGCCGCCGTGGTGATGCCGGTCGCTGTAGTGGTGCCGGCCGTGGTCCTGGTGGTGCTGGTCTTGGTAGTGGTGGTCGTCGTGGTGGTCCTCTGGCCGTGGTCATGCTGGTCGTGGTGGTGGTGGTGCTGGTCGTGCTGGCCGTGGTCGTGCTGGCCGTGGTCGTGCTGGCCGCGGTCGTGGTGGTCGTGGTGGTCCTCCTGGCCGTGGTCGCGCTGGTCGTGGTGGTGGTCGCCGTGGTGGTGCTGGTCGTGGTGCTGGTCGTGGTGGTTCTCCTGGTCGTGGTGGTGCTGGTGGTGGTGCTCGTCGCTGTGGTGGTGCGTATTCGTGGTGCTGGTCGCCGTGGTGGTGCTGGTCGCCGTAGTGGTGCTGGTCGTGGTGGTCCTCCTGGTCGTGGTGGTGCTGGCCGTGGTGGTGCTGGTCGCTGTGGTGGTGCCGGTCGCCGTGGTGGTGCTGGTCGCCGTGGTGGTGCTGGTCGTGGTAGTCCTGGTCGTGGTGGTGCTGGTCGTGGTGGTGCTGGTCGCTGTGGTGGTGCCGGTTGCCGTGGTGGTGCTGGTCGTGGTGGTGCTGGTCGCCGTGGTGGTGCTGGTCGCCGTGGTGGCGCTGGTCGCCGTGGTGGTCCTCCTGGTCGTGGTGGTGCTGGTCGAGGTGGTGCTGGCCGCCGTGGTGGTGCCGGTCGCTGTAGTGGTGCCGGCCGCGGTCGTGGTGGTGCAGGTCTTGGTAGTGGTGGTCGTCGTGGTGGTCCTCTGGCCGTGGTCGTGCTGGTCGTGGTGGTGGTGGTGCTGGTCGTGCTGGCAGCAGTCGTGCTGGCCGCGGTCGTGGTTGTGGTCGTGGCGGTCCTCCTGGCCGTAGTCGCGCTGGTCGTGGTGGTGGTTGCCGTGTTGGTGCTGGTCGTGGTGGTCCTCCTGGTCGTGGTGGTGCTGGGCGTGGTGGTGCTGGTCGCCGTGGTGGCGCGTAGTCGTGGTGTAGGTCGCCGTGGTGGTGCTGGTCGCCGTGGTGCTGGTCGCCGTGGTGGTGCTGGCCGTGGTGGTGCTGGTCGTGGTGGCCCTTCTCCTCCTCCTCCTGGTCGTCGTGGTCGTCGTCGTGCTGGTGGAGGTGCTGTTCGTAGTTGTGCTGGTGGTGGTGGCGGTGGTTGTGGTGCTGTTCACAGTAGCTCTGCTGTCGGCGTTCCCGCGAGCTGCTGTGCCCCGCCCTGACCGTGCGCGCCCCCACGCGGGGGCCGGTGCTCTCAGGGGAGCGCCGACAGAACGTCCCCTCGCCAGGGATTCTCCCCGTCTGTCGCTAGCGTTTCAGAGGGCACGTCCTCGAGCAGGCTCGCGGCCAGGGCGTCGTGGATGGCGTACGCCAACATGCCGCTCCACCTGTGCAGCAGCGCGGTCGCCAGCGATCCTCGCAGCGCCGCCGGCGCGCTCCTCGCCCGGGCGCGGGCCAGGGTAACGAGGAGCTTGTACGCCTCCTCGTCCCAGCGGCCGCCCGTCTCTGCTCCGGCTACGAGCAGGTAGCCCCGCCGCGAGCCCACCAGCTCAGGGTAAGTCGTTTGCTTGCGGCGCCTCGCCCGTTTCAGCGCGAGTCCTGGGCGGAGCCTCCGCGCAATCGGCCTGCCGGTGGCCCTCAGCGGGGACACGACGCAGGCGTCGATGGCGAGCTGCCTGCCGTGGTAGGCAGGGAGGCCGTTGGCCACCACCTCGATGCGGCGCCCGTCGTTGGCGGCAATGCCCGGGAGGTTCATGTCGCGCAGGAACACGTTGGTGCGGACACGGCCTCCTGCCTCCCGGCACACCCGGGCCCACATCCGCTCGATGGGAGCGCCGCGCTTCAGCAGGCGTCCGCTGCGGGGGCAAGCTGCTCTGTGGTCGCCTCTCTCGTCCAAGTGGGCCTGGCACGAGCGCCCGTTGCACCTGCTTGCCGTGGCGTCCAGCGGCAAGCGGAGCCGTCTCTGGAGCAGTGCCCGGAAGCGCTCAGGCGTGAACGTGCTTTCTGGCGTCGAGGGGATCAGGGCCAGGTGCCGTCCGCCGCAGCGGCCTCCCTGCGAGTCGAGCATCCACTGCTGGTCGTCTGTGAGGCTCGGGAGAACGACCTCCTCCCTGTAGCGCCGCTCTCGGGCTGCGGAGGCGTGGTACTGCCATCCGTGCTTCCACTCGCCCGGCTTTGGCTCTGTCTGTTCAGGGCGCGCGCCGTCCCAGACCTCCTGCCAAGTTGGGCACGTCGCAAAGCCGTCGCGGGCGGCGGCAGCCCTCGCGCGCTCAGCTATGGAGGCACGAGGCTGCGGCGCCTGTTCCGGCGAGGAGGGTGGCGGTGAGCTCCGCTGCTGCTGTAGGGTTTCTTTGTCGCAACATGGGGAGCGCGTCCGCCCAAGACGCCCAGTACGCGCACTCGGCCGTGCGAGCGGCTGACCTGAGTCCAAGGCCTCCGAGGCCGAGCGGCAGCGAGCTCACTCGGGAGAGCCTCTCTGCTTCAGCTGGCGCGGGGTCGAGGTCGAGGAGGTCGTGCAGCGCCTCCTGCAGCCCGCGGTCGTGGGCCTCGGCGTAGGACCGCGACAGCGTCGCGAGCGAGCCGCCCGCGCGCCGCCGCAAGGCCTCGCCAGCCTGGAACCAGACCGCCTCCTCACGAACGTGCGCAGGAGTCGCCGGGGCGCTGCGCCGGGCCCCTCAGGGATGACGGGAGAACACTTGCAGACGCTGCTGGACGACGGGCACTGCTGCGACCTCCTGCACCACGCTGCCACGCTCCTTGCGAGGGCGGAAATCCCTGGCCCCGTGGCAGAGGCCCTCCGGCTCGGCCGCCTCACGGCGCTGCGCAAGAGCAACGGGAGGGTGCGAGGCATCGTGACTGGCGACATCTTCAGGCGGCTGGTAGCCCGCACGCTGGCGCAGCAAGTGGGCGAAGAGGTCGAGCAGGCGACTGCCCCCTTCCAGTTCGCACTCTCGACCCGAGCATGCACGGAATGCGTGGCGCACCTCGCGCAGACTCTCACCCAGGGTGACCCGGCTGCCACGGTGGTTTCCATAGACGGAATCGGGGCAGTCGAACCTCATGTCCAGAAACTCGATGCTAGAAGGATTAGCAAACCTGGGCAGGGGTAGCGCACTGCTTCCCTTCTGCCGCCTCTTCTACGGGGAAAGATCGCAGTACTGGTGGCACGACGACGCGGGACAAGGGCACGCGATCGACCAGGCGGAAGGAGGAGAGCAAGGAGACCCGCTCATGCCAGCCCTGTTTGCCTTGGGACAACACCCCGCCCTGCAACAGGTCCAAGGCATACTCCGGCCCGGGGAGCGCATCTTCGCCTTCCTTGACGACGTGTACTTGGTCACCACGCCAGACAGAGCGAGGTTCCTCTTCAACGCCGTGCGGGACGCCCTCCAAGCGCACTGCGGCATCAGCGTGAACATGGGGAAGACGCGAGTCTGGAACAGGGGAGGGCAGGAGCCACTTGGCATCCGAGAGCTGGGCTCAGCAGCAGACCGGGCGTGGGTAGGAGGAGCAGACACCCCGCCGGAAGCCCAGGGCTTGGTCGTTCTGGGGGCCCCGATAGGCCACGGAGCTTTCGTCGCCCAACACCTGGAGGCCATCCTGGAAGAACACCGCCGCTTGCTCGCGAGGATACCACCCGTCGGGGACCTGCAATCCTCGTGGCTCCTGCTCAGCATGTGCGCCAACCCCCGGGCCAACTTCTTCCTGAGGGCGCTGGCTCCCGAGGACACGGCCGCCTTCGCCGCAGCGCACGACGACAACCTGGCCAACGCGCTCGCCGACTTGCTGGAACTCCCGCAAGAAGCTGTCGCAGAAGGCACGTCAGCGCGCCAACGCTGCCAACTGCCGCTTTGCATGGGGGGGCTCGGCCTGCGAAGCGCGTCCAGGACGGCGCCGGCGGCCTGGTGGGCTTCCTGGGCAGACTGCGCGGCGAATGGGCGCACGGCTGGCAGTTCTGGGCCGCCAGAGTCTTGGAGAACACAGCCCGACAGCAGCTCCTCAACGCCTCCGCGCCACCGGACCGCGCCCTCCTCCGGTCACAGAGCGGGCCGTGCGCGGGACGAGCCTTCACCGCGCTGCCCACGACGGGGGACTTCCGCATCCCGCCGGCAGAATTCAGAGTCCTGCTCCTCAGGCGCTTGCGATTTGATTTACCCTTCGCAGCGAGCGCTTGCAGATGCAGAGGCAGACTGGGCGCCAGAGGTGACCACAGAGCGGCGTGCCCAAGAGCAGGGGTGCTCAAGAAGAGATACATCCCATTGGAGAAAGCGGCTGCACGTATCTCCCGCGAGGCCGGGGGCCGAGTCGCAGAGAATCAGCTCCTGCGAGACCTCAACGTGGACGGCGTCGACCCCCGCGACGGGCGCAAGATCGAGGTCATCGCGAACGGCCTGCCGCTCTGGGGAGGAGCGCAGCTGGCGATTGACGCGACCCTGGCGTCGCCAGTCCGCACCGACGGCACCGCGCAGCCCAGAGCCGCGGACGAGGACGGAGTCCAGCTCGCGGTCGCGCGGGGCCGGAAGGAAGCGACCTACCCCGAGCACATCGGGTCAAGGAGATGCCGATTGGTTGTGCTGGGCTTGGAAGTCGGCGGCAGGTGGTCCGAGGAGGCCCTGACCTTCGTCCGGCTGCTCGCCTGGACCAGAGCCCGCAGCGCGCCGCAGCGACTCCGAGCGTCGGCGCGGGCGGCGTACCTACACCGCTGGACAGGCTTGGCTGCGGTCGCGGCCCAGAGGGCGTTCGCGGCCACGCTGCTGGAGTTGCCGCCGCTCACCCTGGCCGTCGACGGGGACGAGCCGCACCTCGCCGACCTCCTGGCGGACGCCCGCTACACGGAGACGCCGGCCCCTAGCCGACTGCCGCCGTGTTTCTGATGCGGTGGAACGGGCGCGGCCCCATCCCGGGGGCCCGCCCGCCGGCGCAGCAGGAGGACCAGCAGAACCACTACAACCACTACCACAACTGCGACAACAAGCAGCGGCAGCAGCTGCAGCATAACCGCCACCACCACCACTACGACCAGCAGCGCCACCACCGCCAGCAAGGCGACCAGCACCACCACCACCACGACGGCGACCAGGGGCAGCACGGCGACCAGCAGCACCACGACAACAACTACCACTACAGCGACAACAAGCAGCAGAAGCAGCAGCAGCACCACCACCACCACCACCACCACAACCACTACGACTACCACCAGCAGCGCCACCACAACTTGCACGGCGACCAGCACCACCACCACGACGGCGACCAGGGGCAGCACGGCGACCAACAGAAACACGACAACTACTACCACAACTGCGACAACAAGCAACAGCAGCAGCAGCACCACCACCACCGCCACCACCACCACCACGACGGCGACAAGGGGCAGCACGGCGACCAGCAGAACCACGACAACTACTACCACAACTGCGACAACACGCAGCAGCAGCAGCGGCAGCAGCAGAACCACCACCACAACTACCACGACTACGACCAGCAACGCCACACCCGCCAGCACGGCGACCAGCACCACCATCACCACCACCACCACCACCACCACCACCACCACTACGGCGACCAGGAGCAGCACGGCGACCAGCAGCACCACGACAACCAATGCAACTACAGCGACAACAACAAGCAGCAGCAGCAGCAGCAGCACCACCACCACCACCACCACAACCACTGCGACTACGACCAGCAACGCCCCCACCACCAGCACGGCGACCAGCACCACCACCACCACGACGCCGACCAGGGGCAGCACGGCGACCAGCAGCACCACGACGGCACTACAACCACAGCGACAACAACAAGCAGGACCACCAGCAGCAGCAACACCACCACCACCACCACAACCAGCACGACTACGACCAGCAACGCCACCACCACCAGCACGGCGACCAGCACCACCACCACCACCACGACGGCGACCAGGAGCCGCACGGCGACCAGCAGCACCACGACAACTACCACCACAACTGCAACAACAAGCAGCAGCAGCGGCAGCAGCAGAGCCACCACCACCACCACTACGACTACGATCAGCAGCGCCACCACCACCAGCACGGCGACCAGCACCACCACCACCACCAAGACGGCGACCAGGGGCAGCACAACTGCGACAAGCAGCAGCAGCCGCAGCACCACCACCACCACGCCGACAAACAGCAGAGCCACCACCACCAGCACGGCGACCAGCACCACCACCACCACGAAGGCGACCAGGAGCAGCAGAGCGACCAGCATAACCACGACAATGACTACCACAACTGCGACAACAAGCAGCAGCAGCGGCAACAGCAGAACCACCACCGCAACCACTACGACTACGACCAGCAGCGCAGCGACAACAAGCAGCAGCAGCAGCAGCAGCACCACCACCACCACCACAACCACCACAACCACTACGACTACGACCAGCAGCGCCACCACCACCAGCACGGCGACCAGCACCACCACCACGATGGCGACCAGGAGCAGCACGGCGACCAGCAGAACCACGACAACTACTACCACAACTGCGACAACAAACAGCAGCAGCAGCAGCAGCAGCAGCAGCAGCACCACCACCACCACCACCACCACCACCACAACCACTACGACTACGACCAGCAGCGCCACACTCACCAGCTCGGCGACCAGCAGCAGCACCACCACCACCACCACCACCACCACCACCACTACGGCGACCGGGAGCAGCACGGCGACCAGCAGCACCACGACAACCACTACAACTACAGCGACAACAGCAAGCAGCAGCAGCAGCAGCAGCAGCAGCAGCAGCAGCAGCAACAGCAGCAGCAGCTGCACCACCACCACCACCACCACAACCACTACGACTACGATCAGCAACGCCCCCACCACCAGTACGGCGACCAGCACCACCACCACCACGACGGCGACCAGGGGCAGCACGGCGACCAGCAGCACCACGACTACCACTACAACTACAGCGCCAACAACAAGCAGCAGCAGCAGCACCACCACCACCACAACCACTACGACTACGACCAGCAACGCTACCACCACCAGCACGGCGACCAGAGCCACCACCACCACCACCATGACGGCGACCAGGGGCAGCACGGCGACCAGCAGAACCACGACAACCACTACCACTACGGCGACAACAACAAGCAGCAGCAGCAGCAGCAGCACCACCAGCACCACCACCACCAGCAGCACCCGCATCAGCAGCAGCAGCAGCAGCAGCAACAGCAGCAGAACCACCACCACCACCACCACCACTACGACTACAACCGGCAGCGCCACCACCACCAGCACGGATACCACTACCACCACCACCACGACGGCGACCAGGGGCAGCACAGCGACCAGCAGCACCACGACAACCACTACCACAATAGCGACAACAAGCAGCAGCAGCAGAAGCAGCAGCAGCAGCAGCAGCAGCAGCAGCAGCAGCAGCAGAACCACCACCACAACCACTGCGACTACGACCAGCAGCGCCACACCCACCAGCACGGCGACCAGCAGCAGCAGCACCACCACCACCACCAAGGCGACCAGGAGCAGCACGGCGGGGCCCGCGCGGACGCCGGCGCGGCAGGGGGCGACGGCGGCCGGCGGCGGCTGGCGGCGGCGGGCCGGCGGCAGCGGCTGGGCCCGCGACGGAGGCCGCGGAGGCCGAGGAGGCGGAGGAGGAGGCGGGCGCTGGGGCGAGGAGGCGGAGGGCGGCAGCGCGGGGGCCCCGCCGCCCTTTGGCTAGGAAGGGCTCGGGGAGGCACGCCAGAGCGGGCCCCGAGTGAGGGTGGGGCTAGAACGCCCGCGACTCTCGGGGCGGCCGGGGGGGGCCCGCAGCGCAGCCGCGCCAGGAGCGAGACGAGGCGCCGCGGCCGGCGGAGCCCCGCTGCGAGGGGGCGGAGGCGGAGGCGGCGGGCTGCGGCTGGCTGGGGCCCGCCAGGTGCCGGCCGAGGCGCGAGGGGGGCGGCGCGCTGGCTGGCGGAGGCGGAGGGGGGCCGAGGTGGGGCTGGGCTCGGCCGCCCGCCGGCCGGCGGGGCGGACGGGGGCGGCGGCGGCGGCGGGGGGCGGCGGGCCTGAGGCCTAGGCCGAC